TGGGGTTGTTGATGGTTCATTAGGCTCTTTAGCGATATACATTGTCGTCGAGTGCCGCCACATCTTTATCTCTATCGTCAGTCCGTCGGATTTGAAGTATGCCGGTCGTGACAGAAGCGTGGACAAACGAGGGTGTCATTAAATCGTCAGACTCGGAGTATGCGAGTCCGATAGTGGTAGTCCGAAAGAAAGATGGCTCCATCAGGGTTTGCGTCGATTTTCGTGAGCTTAACGAACTCATTGAGTGTCCACATTTTCCGTTGCCTTTAATTGAAGACGTTTTAGACGCGTTGCAGGGCGCCCAGCTTTTTACGACGATAGATCTAAAAAATAGGTTTTTCCACGTAAGTCTAGACAAAGATGGCCAGAAGTATATCTCTTTTGTTACGCCAACGGGGCAATACGAATTTCTGAAGTTGCCGTTTGGTCTGAAAATTTCCCCTATTGTCTTCCAAAAGTATATATCGAAGATCTACAAAGAACTGATGGACAAAGATATTGTCATCGTGTACATGGACAATATCATTGTCCTTGCAAAGAATTTAGAGGAGGCATGGGAACGCTTGCAAATGGTCGTAGAATTAACTGGGTAGTATGGGCTAGTCATAAATTGGAAGAAATGTCGTTTTATGCAGAGGGAAATCGAGTATTTGGGACACATAGTCTCGGGAAACACCGTAAAGCCGTCCGCTCATAAAACCAAGGCCGTTGCAAACTTTCCCAAGCCAACATCGGTTAGAAAAGTCCAGAGTTTCGTGGGACTTACGGGATATTTCCGAAAATTCATTAGAGGTTACGCGAAGATTGCCAAACCCTTAACCGATTTGTTGAAAAAGGAGATAGACTTCAGGTTCGGGGATCTACACCGTGGAGAAAGTAGGGGAGCATGAGGGACTCGCGCATACCTCAACGACTGCCAATTTCATGAAGCCTTGAGCCCTGAACGTCGAAGATGACGCATCCGACGATGGCGAGAATGAACACAACATCTGAGGGCACATGTTACTGCAGGATGGCCGAGTGTAGTATCGGGGAGAAGGGCCTAAGAAACGTCGAGCCAACTATAGACAATGTCGCGGGAGCCGAGGCGCTGTCGGCTCCATCAATGCGTTACAATCGGGTCCTTCAAATAAATAGCTTCGCCGAAAAGGCCTACGTGACCCTGGCTACGAGCGTCCGCCTAGCAAAAGCGTTGGGCCTAGCAAAAGACAAAAGAATGCTACAACGGCCAGAGAGTCAGTTGAGAAGCAGAGTGTGAATCGACGTACGACGATATTATAGTCGGTCCTTTTGTTGTTGAATATCACTTCTTAAAATACATTAAACTTTGAACCTACCATCACTACTTGTCCTTACTCTAAGAATCCATCAGTTACTACATGTATGTACGTTCATTCTTATAGACTTTAGCGCTTAGGAAATTTTATTGATCGAAGAATTTGAAGAGTTTTTGCTGTTCTGTAAATGAGATAAATTTATGTTGGTAAAGAGTTAAGTTATTTTCCCGATCCTTCAAATGTAGTCGAGTAAATCGAGCTTAATAGAACTTGAGTATATTTCTTATTTCCTGTTTTATTGTGTTGAAGAAATTTGTTGGATAAGTAGATCTTTTGGAATCTTTAAAATTATGACAAAATGTTATAATCACGTATGAATGAAATTCCAAGCTATGTTTTACGTTACATTGTTCGAGAAACTATCGCAATATTAAAGTCTTGTTTGACAGAAATCGAATGCCTGTTTCTTGTGCAATAACATTTGACGTTTGAAGGAATGATTGAACGTAATAACTGTGATCTTTCTGCAGCAGGAGGTGGAATAAATTTCAACTAACGTGTTATTAGATAATTAAGAACGTTGTATTGAAACTGGCAATTATCTTGAAGCTTGGATAGTTGAATTGAAATCCGAACATCACATTAAAATTTGGCAATAAGACGATGTTAGGCAAACTGAATCATCGAGCAAAATTTTGTGAAATTTCACGCTTGAGTTTCTTTCTTGTGAATTTTCATCTCTCTTGTAACAAACTTCAAATATTTAACGCAACAAGGAACTGTATAACTTAGTCGCGATATCGATAAGTATTCTAGAATTCTTACGAGATTCGTTGTAAGCGCAAAACGATAAAAATGAATCCAGTTTGCCTACGAAGTGTTAATATCTAATTTTTTTTTTTTTTTTTTTCAAGACGAGGTTACATCGGCTAATATCGTAACACATGCATTTTCTTGATTATGTGCAGATGAATTTTCTACTAACACAGTTCACAGCACTGATATTGGCTGGGTTTTTGAGAACGTTTCTTAGTCCAGTTGCCGTGACAGCAGCCACCAGACATGTATTTGGTCTCGTCATCGGCCTTGCGCTTGGATATTTCTGCTTCGGCAGGTAAACAGATCTACGTAAATAAAGAGAAATCAATTAGTTGAGAAAAGTGTCGTATCTCTGATAAGCATGATAGCGTTGTGCAAAAAGGCCATTTTATACACTCATGCTATTGTACAAGATGTCCCATGATTAATTGATACATTAGAAACTTTATTCATTGATACTTATCTTAAGTTAGATGTAATACCTTCTCATAGTACGAACAGTAGCGATTCTATGTATTAAATTTAGAGAAATCAAAATAATTACCCATCTATATGGAAAAATTCGATATAGGAATGATTTTTTGTTAAATATACGATTCGAAGAAGTGTCGAGATATTTATATCTGAATGATTACAAGTAATTGTTTCCTCGGACATTGTGTGATTTTCTTCCAGCATTCTAATTATAATATCTGGATCTTTATACATATTATAAACATATTATATGAAAATAACTAGACTGAGGATTTTTATACAAATTTATTCTTCTATGAACTATCAACCGCAGAAATAAAATTCCAATAGAAATCTGTTCCACCTATTAAAAATTATAACAAGAACTCAATTTTGAATACATTTTATATATCTTCCTGTTTGAATTTTGCATAAGTGCATGAAAATTCACGATCTAATAATTATATGCTATGTTAAAGATACGTACGTTAAAATGATCTTCGCTTGAAATAAGTCTTTATTTAGAAAACATTATAAAATACATTTATTATATTAATTAAAAGTGGACATATCCTGTACAATAGAATTAACTGTATAGATTAGTGCATGAGACTAAAAAGAAAAAAGAAAAAAAAGATAAACGGAAAAGAATGTTTGTAGCATCCTGAGAACCCCCTCTATATTTAACCACCTTGCTTCATTAAAAAAGAAAACTCGTATCTTTTCAGGCAGGCGATTCACCTTGCAGGCCTCCCAGCCTTATGTTACATAGCAATGCGCACACAAAATCCTCGTAATATACAGAGGCAAGTTATTTACATCGATATTTTCATTATAATTATAACTATGGGGCACATCGATTCGTTTCATTAGTCACTATAGATTTCATATCCTATGAAAGCTTTGCGCAGCTTGATAAAGTACTATTCCCCGATGAAAAATATTTTTCTTGAAAAATTATCCCACTAACCACGAAAATATGTGAATTATGTTGAAATATGTGATTTAGCAAAGTGTAAGATTTACTGTGAACATTTATTTTCTACGGTTTACTTAGAATTCCCTCGCTTGTCTTTTGAACACTATAAAATATCGACTAGAAACGTAAGTATTCTACAAATACAAGTTTCTGTCCCGTTTTACACGTTATCAATTTAAAGCATGTAAATACGGTGCAATTTCTTTCCAGAAATAATAAATTTCTCAGAATAAATTTCAAATCTTTTTGTATCGCGTAATAAAACTAACACAATGGAAACATAAATGTGCCTTTACAAAATTTATAATTTCTCGTAATAATACTTCATAGATAATAAAAATCCAAAAACATCTTTTTATTATACTCTTTGTAGTTTGAACAATAATTACGAACCTATATTTATATCGAAATTTATCTAAAAATTTATATATCTCTCTTACCATGTATCACAGTGACGAGCCTATAAATAAAGAAATACCTAATAATTTAACTAATTTTATTATGAGAAGTTCTATTGTTCAAGAGAAACAGTTAAGCGATTTCAAACAGAACAAGCGTCGAATCGTTTAGTATCATATCCTATGATTTGTATAAAAAAAATACTCTACTTATTATATACTTTATACATAAAAAAATAATCTCTTGTAAATTCGACTAGTTCTACCATCGAATAATTTACTTCTTACTTTTTATATAATACAACATTTAAATGTATTTTTCTTGTTCTTTAAAACTCTAGATATAGATCACTAGATATAGAACTACTCATAAATTTTAATTTCAACTAGTGATTAGTAAACTGCGCATGTTTTATGAAAAACCGAAACGTTTATTAACACAACTACAAAAATAGGAACATCGTTACTTGTATATAATAATAAGATATAATAAGATAATTTTTATTACAAGTTATAAATAGTCGTTAAATGTTAAAGGCCAAAGTGTTTCCACGTTTACTCTCATTATCACGGTCAATGATTGTTCTTTGAACTTAACAACTCATCTTGGTAATACGTTTCAGAGTTGTGTTAACAACGGCGATGCTCTACTTATCTTGCGTGCATTACCATCGACAGATGTACAATTATGGCTCGTACACACTCGATATCACTGGTAAGCAGACACGTGCGTCACCTTCGCTAAATAATTAATATCTTTTTCTTATTGATATGTTGTCGAATACAAGAGTTACAGTATATTTATCGCATGTTTTGCTAAGCGAATAATTTAGTTACGCTGACTTGTGTCATTCGACGTGTTACTGATCAAAAGTTATGTATATTAAAGAATTATTAGCTACGCGATTGTGCAAAAGATATTATTTAAGTTCCTTGACATATACCGTAACTTTTAAGTTATCGTAAATGTCGCATTGTATTCTTGTTTTGTATGATCAAATTGTTTTCTAATTCGTACATTGTATTGTTTCTATCGTACGAACGCTATCGTACGATTATTAGAAAATTTACAACCAACCAATTAGAATGTTTACAACGAATAATAACAACCTCGCTGGTTAATTTAATGTTACTTGTTAAATTTTCCTTTTCTAATTTTACTTTTACTTTGTAACTTATCGTAATATAGGAATTACGCTTTATATAAAAATTATGTCTCAGTAAATATATAACGTATAACAGGAATATACCACAGGAACGTACGTGGTTTATAAAAAATATGTATTTCTATATAAAGATCTCGTTACATCGTGTACATTTCAGGGCCACTTATGGTGATAACGCAGAAAGTGACCAGCCTTGCGTACAGCATACATGATGGGTTAACGCGACGTGAAGAGGAACTCACGCCAACGCAACGTTATCAAGCCGTGAAGTGAGTTGACGTCTTCGTTAACCGGTCGTTTATTCCACAACATTAATTATATAATATGCAACGCAACACACCCAGAAGAACACATCTTCCACACTACATACGCATCAACATAGCTGAATCACATATCTATTCAAATGATGATATCGTTTGCGCACCGGATAATTCCTACATTTATCATTTTATTTCCTTTGCTGTCTGTGGTCAAACCCAACCTGTTATATGCATGGCTTATTTTAGAAAGATGCCGACGACGTTAGAGTACTTCAGCTACGTCTTCCATTTTCAAGCGTTGATGGCTGGGCCGGTGATATTTTATCGTGATTACATCGATTTTATTCATGGACGTAATCTAACTGGAGCAAGAGCTTTGACGGTTAGAGTTTTGTTCAATCATCCTTTTTTTTTTGTGTTTATACGCTCTCGATAACAACAGCGACAAAAAAAGAAAAAAAGGAATAAAGATCATAACACGGAGTTTTGATATTTTTTATTCTTTTTAAGGGCTGTGATAAAAATTCCGCTCACTACGACGAGATAGTCCTGGAACCGTCTCCGACACCGGTCGTAATAAAAAAGGTCATAGTGAGCTTATTGTGCGCGGCTATGTTCGTGACTTTCATTCCAACATACCCGATTCAGAAGCTAAAAGGTTCGAGTCATATATTGTCTCTTTAATATTTATCGTCGCCACGTCAGAGCGCTGACGAGACTTTACTTTATTTACAGACGATGACTTCCTCGAGAATACCACGGTGTTTTATAAAATGTGGTTCCTGATGGTCACCACTATGCTAGTTCGCTTTAAATACTATCACGCGTGGATCTTCGCCGATGCCATTTGCAATAATTCCGGGATTGGGTTCAACGGTTATGACAAGAATGGCGAACCCAAATGGGATCTAGCTTCCAATGTTGATGTTTATGGGTTTGAGGTAAATTTTTCGAAATGAATACGATTATTTTAGAGATAAATCTATATATATCTATACATACTCAGATAAAGATCGCGGTAAGCGTCGGTATGTTTGGGGTAATCTCGAGAACCGCTGGACAGATTTTGATGCGGTTCTCACCAATTTAAAGAGCGTTTCTCGAGCAAGGTTTAGGTATGTGAAACATTATCCTATGATTAAACGAATCGCTTTTACGATATAGCGAGGCAATACGAACCCGACTGCGAGCAATGTCTTTCTCTTTTCAAAGTATGTTATGTCAGAAGCATCACGATTTCATTGTATTCATTGAGCGGTGTTGATTCTCGTTTACCAAGCCAATAGAAATTTCATTAAGCATATTATTAAAAATGCTTATATAAGGTCCCAGGAAAAAATTGGCATATCAATTAGTTATAAATAAAACTTGATGTGATTTGCACACGTATATCTAATTCGGTCGATTTATTTTTGAATTTGAAATAAAAATATTCTAAGCAAATTTACATCACTATTTTTTTTTATAGAATCTTTAATACGTACTATATAGCAGTGACGACATCACTTAGATTGAATCGATCGAGCTCGTAATAGAAGTTATGATCTAAGTTTAAGGTTACTGATCCGTACTATTGTGTTTCGTAATTTATTGATTTATTATTGTTGTATGATCTAAACGAATCAAAATCTATGCAACAGTTGTACTTTTCAGATGTCTCTGAATATGAGGGACAGTATCGAACACTGGAATAAAGGAACCAATAGGTGGCTTAGGTCGATTGTATATGAAAGGACACAGTACAATAAACTTCTGTTCACGTATGCTCTTTCTGCCTTATGGCATGGTTTTTACCCCGGTTACTATTTAACATTCGCCAATGGAGCCTTTTTTACCATGGTGTCACGCATTGTAAGTAAAACTAGTAATAATATCGAATTTGATTTGCTATATGTTTTTAATCATTGAAAAGAACAAATATTTTGTTAATCGTTAATTGATCATTGACCAACTTTTACTATCAAACAGACTCGTCGTAACATACGACCATACTTCCTAGGGTCCAAGGGGATGAAGTTCCTATACGATGCGCTTACGTTCACTACAACGCGAGTCTTAATGGCCTATATGACATTCAGCTTTATACTCTTGGAATTTGTACCAAGTGTGAAAATGTACCTGTAAGTAATAATAAATTCATTTTTCTTTTTACGTACCACTTCTTTGGTCGTATTCATAAAAATCCAGTCTACTTATAATATACATACGTAATCAGAAGGAAATTCTAATATAACACGCAATATGTTTCTCTTTTTCAGGTATGTATACCTGATTCCACATATAATCGGTTTAACTTTACTCGTGATCGCACCACGTCTTCCGAAAATTCCGTCGCACAAGAAAGTAACTGAAAAGGAATCGAAAACTTCTCAGGAATTAATCAACGGAACTGCGCGTAAATCCATGTGAATTTTAGATGTGGCCAAAAAAAAAAAAAAAAAAAATGACGATCACACAAGAGATACATATTTTTTATGAATGTTTTAATATACGTATAAATATTATGTATATATTATATATACACGCACATATATACGTACAATATTTATTGTTACGACATGTTACTGGTACAAATTCTATGTCGAGCGTGTGAAAAGTATATTTGTTTTATATAACGTGAATGAGTAATCATATATTTATATCAATGCCCAGTGCATATGATGAGAAGTTGGCACCCAGCTGTTTCGCAGTTTTACCGGAAAACAGACGACATCGCGGGTGATATAGTAAATAATATTTAATCGATAGTCTTCTGTAATATTATCATATTTCTTGTTCTTTTTTCCCCTCTGCAATGTTTATCGAAAGAGTGGTTGACAGATTATGACGTTCCAACAGAACACAGATATGATTTTAATTCTAAGCGATTACTAGTAATTTTTGCAGTTTTATACATTTAGCGTGCGTAATGATACGATGATTGTAAACGAACTACTAGGGAATATAATCTCTAGTTTATACAAACGCGCTTCGATTTATCCAAAACGCCCAGTTTTACTCAGGATGCTAGAATATGCGTAAGATATTCTTTGGCGTTCGTCAGCATTGACGATTCTACGAAAAATGCCCGAGTACCCTAGACGTCGCAGTCGCGAAATTATTACACGATGCAGCGAGGGAGAAGACTTAATCTACAGCACCCTCAAGCGTCTTTGCTTTTTATTCACATGATTAATTTTAAATTAAATTCATAAGTTTATTTATAAAACGTTACCTCCGAACATCTTTATTGATATTAATAACAAGTGTCGAGATAAAATCCAATTACAAACAAATTATACGATGCTCAACTGCTAAAATGTGAATGTTACGTAAGTATGAAATCACATTTATAATGTAAATTTATTAAATTTACAAACATCTTTCTCGATTGTTGCACCGTTTTGATTACGTTAAATAGATCAAACCCTAACTTCTGTTCTTTTGTAACAACTTCTAATATATACCGATAATTAACCATAGACAAACTCAATTAACCATAGATTTTTTAAGAAAATCATAAAAGTGCGATATTATGTATAAGTTTTATTAGAACCACTATCGGTTAATTATAAATTTTATACGAAAGATAAGATGCAAATATACCAACACAGTAGCCGGGTGAAATCTGATTAATGACGTTATCATTGCGCCCCACGTGCCTGCGTATCCTCAAATAACTATAGCCATAATTCGAATGTTCACTAACGTTTTGCGCGAGTATTTTCATTCGTCGCCTAATGGAATATCGTCCTTATAATCGGGTAAAGGGAAGCACCGAAACTGACTGCACCCCCGAAGCCCTATTACACACGGGGTGGCAGCGGCCACTTAGCTAGCAAAATAGTCAGTGCGATCATCGCGAGCGATCCGCGACGATCCCACGATCGTGAGCTCCGATAGAGATTCTCGAGTAGCGTCCTCTTAATCCAAGAAAGCATGGTAAAATTTCTGTTAATTGTTCGAATCGTGGATGTGCAAAGGACAGTGAAACATTATGGATTCGAGTTTTAAGAGACCAAAAAGAAAAATAATAGAAATAGAGAGGATTCGTGTGGTATAAAGGATCTAATGTGCTCATAAAGAAAAGAATGTTAAATAAAAATGCTGAATAAACAAAAATTGAAGTGGTGATCTTTACACGTTGTGAATCTTTTCGGCGAAAAATGTTTGACCTTTGCACAACCAGGAATACAGTGTTTTCTTAAACGATTTAATTTACCGGGGAGCTATTGCTCGTTCGATCATCGGAGAAATTGTTATGAAATTGTTTTTTTGTTCCATTGTATAAGATTCTAAGTACGAGGTTTCATTTCTGGTTGTTAATGGAGAAATGTATGTGCTTTTGTACACTACTAGAAAGTAATCGAAGAACGTTTGAATTCTGGCATGAAACGATAATTATAAACATGTAGGCACTCACGCTTTGAAAAGAAAGTACAATGGTATAAAATAAATCCAATTTCTTAAAATACGTACATCTTGTCAAACTTCATTGAAATCCAATCCAAATTAATTTTTCGCTATCGTAACTAGTTGCTTATTAACTCGCTCGCAAAAGTTAATATCGTTGCTGCTATATCAGAGTAATTATATTAGAATTTCAATGGTCTTTATATTCAAAAATACGCGAGAAATGGGCTTACATTTACTTGCTTTACTTCTATTCCAATTTTTTATCTTATGTGTTTATATTTTATAATACTCGTTGAATCTTCACTTGCTAAAGCTCAATGAAAGGGGTAACGGACTTTCGCTCAAAGAAATAAAGATCTCCCTGAAGATCTATTTCGAAATAAACCTCTCACGAGGTTTCAAATGTTCGATAAAATTGAAAAATGTAGCTTAAACAGACGTTAAAACAGTGATAGAAAATGCGCGAATTTCTTTCAAGTTTCACTTCAGTTAGTATAGATATGCATAGGAAATGTACGACATAAACCACGTGCAGCTAAGTTAAGAGGATTATGTTGTAGTATCTAATAATTGGCTTGTTTGCGAAAAACTGCTTAAAGTTCGATTATCTATGACGAAAATGCAGTAATCGGAGAAAGTCGTCATCGTGGAATTATATTATTTAACGAGATAACTTACTTTGTAGACACCTATTAAATACAATACAATAGAATGAAATTTAAATAGAAGGAACGTCTTATTGCCACCTGACGCAGTTTATTATAACTTTGACAGTGTGTTTTACAAGTAAAAATAAAACTAAAACCTACAAAAGTTAGGCTCAGGTACTTTCTGTAGCCGCTGCATACGCATATTTAAACATAAATATTTAACCCGAGTTAAATATATCAAATCCGATACATTTATGCTCTTTCTACTTCATAGCTCCAGAGTCCACGAGCATTCGAAACATTAAACCAATTTTTAATTAAACATTTCGAAAATTTACCAAGCTATACGCAGCCAAGGAGGAAAGTTTCACAGCTATCGAAATCAACGAGACGGTAAAATAAAAAATGGGTTTACAGCATTTGGCAACGATGGTGAAAGTGGGTTATGCTCTGATGATATTTACCCTGTTGATGATGATGTGGGCGTCCTTGGTTCGGATGCACGAGCTTCCGGTCCAATATCCACCGTGTTTCTTCAACCCTCTTTGCACTTGTTCGAAAGCCATCCCGGATTTGGGTATCGTCACCTGTTACAACGTGCCGATGCCGCGGATACCTCAGCCGATAAATTCCTCCAAAGTGTTCATGCTGCAGTTGGAGAACAACGGACTGATGTTTCTTCAGCCACAGTTTCTTATGAACACAGGTAAGAAGGAATTTACAAACGACGATGGCGTACGAATTAAAATTGTAAGAGATCGTATTATTAAAAGATTTTGAAGAAAGAGCACATTTCATATAAGTGACGTTTAACAAAGAATAATTTTTTATCGCGAATAACATCGAATAAACGATAATTTCTCATATACAACTTTCGATATGCAATAATAAAGAGGAAGAGTCGAAGTATTCGAGATTCTGGCGATTTGGGTTGTTACAACTTTCAAATATTCCGTATGTTGTCGCAAGATATTCACTGTTTTTCAACGACCAATCGACATTCAAAGTTTTAAGAAAAATTAAAAAAATGCCAAATAAGTCCAAATAAAATGTAATTCGCTAATGTAAAAAAGAAGCGATTCTTCCTATACGGAAACTTAAAAAATAGTAATATCCCTTGGAAAAATAAAATGCCAAGTAATTTCCTCACATCGTTAACATTAACTCGCTTATGTATGCTAGAATGCACTTAAAAGGGGATTTCGAAGAGATCGTTGATCAAGGGAAGAATGAAATAGGGGTTGAGGGGCAATGACCGTATGTCACGAATAATTCCTTGCATCATCGATTACGTTACGTTACATATACATATGTATATATACATAGGATGCGTGGCAGTTCAGTTTCACATGAAAGTCATTCCTCTACCTCTCAGGTCTGTACAATCTACGGATCAAACATAATCCCCTGGCCGACATCCCGGACGAAGCTTTCCTAGGGCTTGAGAGATCGTTATGGGAGCTCGAATTACCCTACAATCGCCTAGAGAAGGTTCCCAGCAGGTCGTTCAGACATTTGCAGAAATTGCAATTTCTCGATCTGACAGGTATCTTTGGAATTTTCTTTAACGTAGTAGAATTCCATTTATCCGAACTTGTCGGGAAATGAACGATTCGTATAATTGGATTTGACAAATTTCTATTATAAATTCGTAGAAAATATAACGGTTTATGTTCAAATAAGTAAATTTAATCGGTAGGAATTGGTTTCATTAGGAAGAAAGTAAAATTCCGTTTCAATAAAGGAGAGAAGTTCGTAACAATTTAGTTTCATCGTATCCTTATTGTCATCTTGAAAAATTGGATGATAACGTGGTTTGATAAAACACTCCAGCTTTGATGAATCATCGAATCACTAAGGAACGATTCATTAGTAGATAACATAATCGTAACAAGCACTTTATGTATATTGATATCTTAAAATGTGAAAAATTATTGTCATCGTGCTTGAAATCAAAAGTGAAATTAAGTGGATGTAGGATGAATTACATGGATATAAGATTGCATTGTAAAAATTAGATGCTGAGATTTCTGATTCACGATCAGAAATATGAAAGAAAGAAAAGCGAAAGGGACGAGTGAATTAATGGTAGAAATTGTATTAGTTTCGTAGCTTAATTGAATTAAACTAAAAGATTATTCTTGATCCTAAATAAAATCCTAAAATTCTTCTACCTAAAATTGTTTCTCTTTCAAATTTCGACATATGGTTCTGACATACCAGAGTATACTTAATAATATTATTTTAATATAATCTTTAATTACGTATTAATTACTAAAACATCGTATCGTACATTTGGAATGAAACAATTCTGAAAACTAAATAAAAGTTACCACTTGTTCTGCAGGTAACAAAATATCAAAGATCACGCCGGATAATTGGCGTGGTCTGGAGAATTCTTTGCAAAAACTGCGATTGGGACGAAACGCGATCGACAAACTTCCGGCGGATGCATTCGCGGGCCTCACTTACTTGGACATGCTCGATTTACGCGAAAATAATCTGAAAGAAATCGATCCTTCCGTGTTCAGAGATGGCATGGCACATCTGATATATCTGTACCTGAATGGAAATCAATTGACCCATATTCCCTATGCGCAATTGTCGTCTCTGAAGCGTATGAAGGTGTTGGATCTTAGTTACAACAGAATATCGAAGATGTTAAACCAGCAACAGGAGTCGGAAATCAGAGGGCTGCAGTTGTCCCTGGATATACTGCGATTGGATTATAATCAAATCGAAACTCTGATATCTGGTGATTTCCAGCATTTTCATAAAGTTAACCGAACTTATCTCGATGGTAATCCTTTAACTATGGTACAGGTAAGATTTTCCAAATGTTATAATTTATATTTGCCTTCTAAAAATTATAATTAAAATAATTAGCTAAAGATGTTTCTCGGATAGAAAAATCACAGTCCAGTGATCTTTTAAATCTGAATTTTTCAATGTTTGTAATACGTTTACAGAAACTAAAATTCTTGACAAAATAAAAAACTCACGATATTTGATATTCGTGAATTTTTTATTGTCGACCATTTATTATCGATTCGCTGAAACGCCAAATGATAGAAGTTTCGCTTGCAATAAATATTACAATTTAATACGTATGTTACGTAGTGTAATGAAATGTTCAAGGCTAGGAGAAAATATCGAACTATGTGTTTTAGGAGGGTACGTTCAGGGATTCGAGAATACGGGAACTTTATTTCAGTGATTGCGATCTAATGGAGGTGAATTCTCCTGATTTGGCTGGCTTGGAGACGTCCCTGGAATTATTGGATCTCTCCGGGAATAATATCACTTCTCTCTCGAGTCCTATCTTCCAAGAATACGATTTTTTACGTACTTTGATCTTCCGCGAGAACAAGATTCAAACGTTTTCGCCAGGTAAGACGAAAGACGATGACGTTACGACGATGATTTATTAATTCCATCGATCTTCCAATTTTACTTCAAAGATTTAAAACAACCTGCCTTAGCAAATATGATTATTTTCTTTCCTTTTTTGTTCTTTCTTACAAAAATCTAAAGTTTCGAATTTCAATGTCTCGAATCGAATATTAACCATTTTCTAAATTAATAGTTTACGTTAATCGACATCTTATTCTACGTGTTATTAGCCGAGGTATTCAATGGTTTCCAATATTCTCTGTACAATCTGGACCTGAGCGGCAGAGAAAACAGCGTGGTGTCCCTTCAGGATTTACGACAAATGCGGAACATGCGGTTCCTTTCAATCTCGCGAATGCCACAATCAACGTTATCGTCGGACGATTTTATGGAATACGGGATGGACATCAAGGAACTTCGTATAGTCCAAAGCAACCTGAATACCATCAAGGCTCATGCTTTCATGCACGTTCGCGGAATCAAGTATTTGGACTTCTCGGAGAACTCGATATCCTCGATAGAAGACGAAGCTTTCTCCGAGGTAATTTCAACGTTAAACGTTCGTCGTAATTTTTATGTTTTGACGTAAAATTTTTTTTATCGAGGTCATAAAGTTTCAGAAAAATACAATATATATGATAATCACTAAATTAACATTAAATTTTTCCAGTCGAAATCGTCGAATTTCAGTGAGATAAAGTACGGACGAGTGCCATTTAATTTTAGTTCAAAGATTAAGAAAAAAACTCGTCTTATCGAGTACGATTATTCTCTTTCCTTTTTTGTTCTTTCTTACAAATATCTGAAGTTTCGTTGTATCCATCAATCGTCGTATCAGTGTCATAAAAATTGGAAGATTGTTATACTGTATTTTCGATAACAACGTTCTTTCTGTTTCTTACTATTTCGTGCGAGAAAGGAGCGATTTCTCAACCGAGCAACCATACAAAACCGTAATACATTTGATCAATGAGAATCAGCAATTTACCTTAATATGTTAATTAAACTAGATTCGAACCGCATTCCCGATTCACCGAAGGCCTTGATAGCCGCAGATAATTCCGATAAAACAGGCTTCTATAAAGATCCATCGTCGCAGCGAGTACTTGACCTATTCACGAATATACACGGTGGAACTTTGCGAAATTTCAGTTAATGCTAAAGTCTAAGTAAATTTACCTATCTCGAGTATCGTCTTATTGACTTACATAAACTTTTATTACTACAACGAGAGATCGTAGGTACCGGGAAAGGATCACTAAATTTCTATTATACGAACAATTTCGCTCTCAATGCTACGGTTTGAATAAATAAAATGGTTCGGTACATAGAAAAGAACGAAGGAAATTATTTTCTTGGTTGTCCAACGAAGCTAAATGAGCACGTAGAATGATAAAATATAATCATTTAATACAATTTTATATCACAACACGCAGCAGAACCAGGAGAATTCAGATACCGACAAATATTTTATTCGAAGAATATCAAAGGAAAAGTATTGTCTCTTCGGACTATAATCCGTTGCGCGATGAAATTCTACTAATTGCGAAAGAATTGGAAAGAAATTTTCATGCAAATAAAATAATTGTTCGTCAGGTTGGACATTCGCTTCTAACGTTGAGGATGTCTCACGGTTTCTCTTCCTCCGTTTCTGAAGTGCCAAACGCGCCATTTAAGTTTCTGACGAACCTGCAGCACCTTGATTTTAGCAACAACAAAATTAAATCACTGCCAGATACGTCTTTCCATTTTTTGAAGAGGATCAAACGAATAGAATTGCAGGACAACGAAATCGATAATATCAGGAAAGGAACGTTTCAGGTAGGAATTGTACAATTTTTCTAATCGTACGTTTCATTTCAACCTGCTTCGTCTATTTTCATTTTGAATTAATTCAGGGCGACATACATTCGTACCTGGAAGAGGTGAATTTCTCCTTCAACATGATCAAAACGATTCTAACCCACACGTTCGTCGACCTACCAAAATTAACGATGATAAATTTAGAAGACAATGCTATAGATAGAATCGAGAGGCGGGCGTTCATGAACATGAAGCTGTTGAAGTATATCAACCTACGGGGTAACAAGATAAAAGATATCACGGACGAAGCCTTCCAGGTAACATTAACATTTTATTTACCGTATCTTATTCATAATCCTATCGTATAACCCTATCGTATAATATGTTTTCAGACGATTAATCAAAAGCCTGCTAGAATATAAAATTTCCTTGACACATAATTTATCATATCCACTAATTATTAATTTATTCATTTCATTAATAAATCATATCTATCAATTTCATACCTCGCTATCAGTTTTACACTCGAGCTATTAATTCTCCTTTTTTCCAACTATCAACAAGAGTACGTAGACGTTAATGGTACGATTAACGTCGCATTTTCTTCAGTTTAAAATACAATTTACCTGTTTTATTCTCGTCGTATGACTTTAATTACGATCATCCATTAAGACCGCTCGTTTTAGCGTTAAATATCATTAAACAGATACGTTGGAGGATGAAGAAAGATACAAAAGTTTCTGATCAATTTCGTGACATCTGTCTTCGTGGTTTCGGAGAATTTCTCAATTGAACGAAAATCGTAATTATTTATATTTAAGAATCTGCCAGATTTGGAGTTCCTCGACTTCGCGTACAACGACCTAGCCGAGTTCGATTTTGCCTCGTTCGATCAAGTGGGAACGTTGTCCTCGTTCAAAGTTAACGCCAGCCACAATGAAATCCCGAAATTATGGATCAACAGTACTACGTTTACACCGCCCACCACCAGTAAGTCCATCGAGGAAATCTTTTGGCCACGCTTAGAAACAGATCTCTCTAATCCTGCTAAAGGAAAATCGATAAAACCCGGTCACAAATCGGCAGATGTTACTTCTAATTTCTCTGCGTCTGTCTTGCGCAACGTAGCATCCTTGAATTCTTTTTTCCACAAGACTAAACCTGATCGTACGATCTCGGAAATCGGATATTTAATATCAGAGATTCGTTGAAATACGAATAACGACCGCTGGGTCGTTAAAAGTTTGAAATATTTATTAATATTATTAAATATTTAAATATTAAATATTAAAAAATTCTGCTAAAAAACGAGTTCGATAAATTAACAATTCGTTTCTTAAGTCTGTGTGAAGGCCATCACACAAAGTTTGGTTTGCTACAAAGTTGTCATTGTAGAAACTTCAGTTGCTCCGTTTATGCTTATGCGAATACCAGAAAAATATCTGTATATTTTCTCTTGTAATATGTAATGAATAGAATATGTAAAAAATAGGATTGGGAATTCTATTGAAAGAATTAAGAATCACCATGTTGCCAAGAACGATTTCATTGCCTCTGCTAAATTTTTTCTCGCGCTAATCTCGATGCATTGTTTGTTATCAACACGCATCGCGCACGAACAATTCGATTTCTAATCCTCGATACGTTCATTGCTTGATTAGACGTTCGATCGTTTCGCGTTAAGTTTATGTCACAGGCTTAATGTTACGTGGTAAAAAGTTTGAAATACGCGCAGAATGATTTATGTTTCACGCGAACTCTTAGGAAACTTGGTCTTTCAAGTCTTCAAGGTCTCCGACCCGTGCCGTCGAATCGACGTCGTAAAAACGTTAAGAACATTCGAGAATATATTTAATATTCGAGATATACGCAACAAATAAATTAACTTTCCTGTAACATTAATCGTTCCTTGTTTTCAACTCTGATTTTATTTCGTCGCGTTGCAGTTGGCGGCACGATTCAATCGAACATCAAGGTCCTGGACCTCAGCTACAACAATATATCCGACATAATGAAGTACTACTTCAAACCAGTCGAATACTCCTTGACGCATCTGTATTTATCTCACAATCAACTGAGCAACGTGACCCAAGGTGTCTTTGGAAATATGCCGCACCTACAGTGGCTAGACCTGAGCCACAACGAGCTGATGGAAATCGACTTCGACTGCTTCAGAAACACCAGGAACATCCAAGTGCTTCTCCTCTCTTGGAACAATATCATGGACATACCGGCAGAGGCGCTCAGACCGCTGAAGAAACTGAGAATCGTCGATCTTTCTCATAACAAACTGAGATCGCTGCCAGACAATATGTTTTCAGACGCCAATATCGAAAGTTTGGATTTGTCTCACAATCAGTTCATGAGGCTACCGATAAAGACCATGTCCATCTCAGCTGCAGCCAGTTTATCCATGTTGGATCTGTCTTGGAACACCTTGTCGGGCATTCACACGACAGACGCGATATTTAGATTACGAGTTAGTTGCGCGCATTTTATAAATAAATTTGAATTCCTTAGACCAACGGCGAGGAAAAATTTGCGTGTACTTTGAAATTAACGCGCGATCGAATGACACGCGAAAGTCCAGCACACGAGTAGAGTTTTACAACGAAATAAGATTTACGTACAAATCGTTATACTACGTCGCGGAAAAGTATAACGCTGAAAATTGAATTTTCTAATTCTTCAGAATTTAATTCTTCTCCTGTTCCGACTAATTGGCTTGGTCGAGTAGGCAGTCAGAAATTTGTTGGATCAAATTATTTGAATCGAGACGGATATTTTTGAGACATACAGTTACAAATTGATTGTTAAATCAATTTTAATGCTTCCTCGACGATTTTAAGTGAAATTTCACCATATTTATATACCTCCCCTAATTCATAATCGTTAAAGATTTAAAAACAAAATTTAATCGTTAGATTCCGCTTTTAAAAAATACGAGATATCGTTCGAAAAGAATCGTATCTCGTGCAAAAAGGAAATATCGTAAATTCGTAAACTTCGAAACGAAAATGCAAACTTCCGTTCCGTTTCAGAGCCTAACGTGGCTAGATCTGTCTTACAATCGATTAGTCAGACTCGATGATGGTGTGTTCTCCGATCTGCCCTATTTAACTCATCTCGATTTGAGTCACAACAAACAACTACTTCTGGAATCACGCGGAAGAACGTTCCACGGTTTGGAGGACTCGCTTTTGTATCTTGATCTAAGCAATATTTCGCTCTTAAGTGTACGTAATACCTGTAAACGTGTGTAGTATAGAACCATTCGTACGAAGGAACGTTTATTTCATTGTATCTGTATCGTTTAAAGGTGCCAGAATTGCCACTGCGACGATTACAAACGTTGTATCTGGCTCACAATGAGTTGGCATCGATACCAGCGGAAATGGCATCGAATTTAACGTCCCTTCATTACTTGGACCTAAGTGCCAATGATCTGACAGTGGTGCCACTGATCACGCACACCCTACCTGAATTGAAAACTTTCAATATAGCGGATAATCCGATCACGGCCGTTAGCAATACTAGTTTCTTAGGTATCGCGGACAGTCTCGAGGAACTGGATATACGAAGACTGTCTTTGATGACCTTTGAGGTAAGTTTTCGCTTGAGAAATAAAATTTCGAGACAGTCGTACCAAAAAAGTTATCGTTGACCGGCAATTTTTATTCTCCAATAATATCTGTATACGATAATTAATTACAAAAGGATAATCTACACGTGCACCGACCGATTTTGTTAGAAAAACTTTCGTTCGAAGTATCGTTATTTTATTACAATTATTTATTACATAATTCTGCTCGGTTATATTGCAGATTTGTATGCATTTATGATGATATTAAAGGGGAAAAAATGCACAGAATGCAAATAATATGCAAATATGTGTAAACAAGATATTCAGAATAGAGTTCTTGTTTTAATATTTATTAGGCGAATGAAATTTCTAAGTTTCGTTTAGAAAAATACGTACCTACATACTCAGCATCCTATAAAATACTATCAAACGAGTATAAAAATTGTGAAATTGTCGTAGGAAGTTTATTCTTTCTTTTTGCATAAAATACTTTACAGATTTTTATACGAACGAGAAACGCGTAGATTGTATACGCGTGAAACGTTTGATAGACAATATTCGTCGTATAAAATGAAAATTACTATTTTCCCTGTCGAAATTAAAACGTTTCCCGGTTTGCAGAGCGGAGCACTCTGCAAAGCTACAAAACTCCGCAAGTTATATATAACCGCTTACAACGGCGTGAAGAATTTCAATTTCCCCAACATTCTCGAGTACAACAACGGCTTGAGGCATCTGGTCATCGATGTACGTGTAAAATTCTACTATCGTAAATATTGCTTTTTCACAAAACGTTTTCACCAAGTCGAAGACAGTCGAACATAAATAGAGAAGATATATACATATTTATATCTAGAAATTTTGTCTTGTAGGTACAGAATGACACGAACTTGGAGAAAGAAATGAAAGGAAAATTCCCCAACAAACTGTTCAATATAACGTTGACTGGTCGAGCATTGAAGGAAATAAACCCAGATATATTACGAGTATGTATTTCTAATAAACTTTCTTACAGAAAATTCTCCGTCAAGATCTATCGATCGATTGGAAAATTGCCTGTCCTTATGCAGTCTTACGGAAATGTTTGATCGTATCGAATCTTCAACTTGACATCGCGTAAACTGAATTTGCGAGAAACAAAACGAAATTACCCTTTGATCACTAGGTTTGGAACTAACGGAGGCCAATATCATTTCACTCGGAACTCGACGCTTCTCTACTTATTTTGCTGTAAAATAATATAGCATCCATATAGTATAACAAAGTTGCTCTGGAAATCTCCGAAATTCCTTCGCCCATAAAAAAGATATTCCCATCGTATAACGCGTTCCTCCAAATTATGCAACTTTCGTATAAGAAATATTTCAATACGACGTGTACCCTGCGAGCAGTTCGAGCTGATCGAGTCAGCCGAGACACGCTGTACTTTAAGGAAACTCGTTCATAGAAATACTTGTAAATACTAGAAATTCTTAAGGAAATTGCAAATTTATCGAACGAACGAACAGACTGGCGTGTCGCATTTATTTCAGGGCATAAGAAATCCGCACTTGCACTTTGGCATGTACAACACAAGCGTGAGCACCGTGCCCAAGCAAATGTTTGAAAACGCGGAATGGGTAAGAAACGTGACGATTCATCTTCATCACAACGACGCGCGAACTATTCACAATCCGTCTAACGGGTACAAGCCAGGCGTGCCAGGGAAACGATTTCTATTGAAACTCACGGTGAGGGGAAGCTATTTCACCTGCGATTGCGACATCGGGTGAGTCGATAAACTCATTTTTATTTTGCATTTTCTATTCAAAAAGCAAGAAACGACGCGTCGGCTATGATATTTCATTTTCCTTTTCGAATCTTCGTCGATGCCCGTACGGGTTTTACTTCGAGGCTTGTAAATGTTTTTCCCGCTATTCGTTCTTAATTAAAAGTCGCTGAAGAACCGACGTGTTCCTTCAGATGGATGGAATCCTGGCAGAGGAAGCACAGACAATACCAAGAAGACCGCTGCACTACCTACAGCGAGTTCAAGAACTTCGAACGAGACGAAGAAGACGACGAGTTCGATTGTTGGGACAACGATTGGGACGACGATCTTCGGGAAACATTTTGCCTGAATAAAAATAACGTGTCGGTGCTGGACGCGTTAAAGACCGATCTGGAATGTGGATGGGGTGCCG